TATTATACATGAGGTCATATTATACATGAGGTCGTATTATACATGAATAAATACAGTAACCAGAAGAGCTCTTCTTAACCCTAATCTTAATCTCTGATATGCTAGCATCTCTAGCATCTCCAAGGAACAGTTTCAGAGTGATATTTTAGCTTTTTTTTTCAGTGTCAAAGATCAAAACATAAAACACTGACAGTACAATTACTAACTGATCTGCCAAACCTGTTAGCAGAAAGTGTCAAATACAAACCTGCAACAGTTAGCCATACTGTTATGTCCATTTGTGTCAGACTACATCTCTAACTTACAAAGTGATGGACTCCAGTCTGGGTATCTGACCCTGATTGGTCAACAGCAGATGCTTTGAGTTGGGGTCCTCCATGGGACCATATTTATCTAAACTAAATTTAAAATTTGATGTATAGCCTGAAGTCTGTAATTTTGACACAATTTGGAACAGATTTTTACGAAGAGCAAATCTTTCCCACTAAACTGGTCATGTGACCAGGACATGAGGGTGTCCAGGGACTCCAGGGGATTAATCGTGAAATTAATCATTATCGGCTAAATACCACAATTAATCATGATTCATTTTTTTTGCCAATATTGCCCAACCCTAGTATCTATACTAAGTAATGAATGTGAGAACTTTTCATACTTCTGGTAAACGGTTCAGTGGGAGGTTTCATATGCAGCATGGGAATACTTTATTTATAAAAAATAAATAAATGGGTTGGAGGTGGGCATGATTACTTTGTTAAATGTATACATGTTTTTATTTTTATTTATTTTTTCAGGTGGGGGTGTGGAGACCTGCAGTTCTTTGGGGTGATCATGTGGAATATTTTAAATCTACTTAATACTGCAATCACAATTTTTTATTGGATGTTTAGTGATATAACTTTTTAATTATGTTTGGAGAGTGGGGTGGGGTGTTTATGTGTTTTTATCATTAATTGTAAAATGTTTTATTTTATATTATTTTTAATTTTCTTTCTTTATTATTATTTTTTACTGTTGGACGTTGTTTTGTTTTACTGTCTAGGACTACAGATGTGAATTAGCCTTAGGCTAAATCTGGTGCAATGCATCAAATGTTTTTATGTTTATGTTTTAATTGCACACTGTCCTGATAAATAAATTCAAAGAATTCAAAGAATACTTATTTTATCTTCCAAATTGTACGTATGAGTTAAAAACAGTGCTTTATGTGCTCAGTATTTAACTGGGTATTAAACATGTGCCATTAGTAATGCAATGTTTGGTAAGAGTGTGATAAGTATTTCTAAATTTAAAAAAAATTAATGGATTTTGTTGGCTGTTTTATCTATAAAAGTATTGAATGTAAAAGTGACAATGCTATAGATTTCCAGTAGTTACATTTTTAAATAAAACTTTATTATCACAGTCATCATGATTTCCTATTATGACCTCAAAATATATTTTTACTGATTTAATGGGACTACTTGTACCGAAAAGTTTTGATAAACTTATTTTGAAATGTTTTTATGGGCCTCAAGAACCGTTTGTTCGAATAGATTTGTTCTTAAGTTGTGCGTACGAGTGATTTACACCAATTTTGTCGTATTGTAAGGTTCTTTTCAGATAAAAACAAAACTCACATGTGGTCCAGACCTGTCGTATATTTTACACACAGTCAGTCTGCTGCAGTGGCGCCTGCAGAATGTTTTGTGGGGGGGGCAATGAAAAATCAAAGGTGGCACACCAAAACTAATATCCATAACAGAAATCGTATGATGCGTTTGTAAAATGACAGCTTGAAAACTATGGCAATATAAGAGTTAAGGATTTACCAACAGATGTTCAGTTTGTTATTTTACAGAAACAATGATTGATTCTGTGACGTCCAGAGACCAGAAACTATCTGCACTTCAGCAACAGTCCAGTTCTGCTGTGTTTTATATCTTTACACGTGGAGCACTATAAATCATCCATGCATCATTATTACATTTTTCAGTGGAAGAAGTATTCATAATGTTAGGGGGGACACACTGGTGGGGGCTCTGGGGGTCCGACCCCCAGAAAACTTTGAATGAAGTAGATGCAATTTCCTGCATTCTGGTGTATTTTAACAGTTTGTTAAACAGGCTTTTACCTACACAGGAAAACACCTGATGTGAGTGTTCTATCACTGAGTGAAGTAATATTTTATGGTAAATGTGGGGTTTCAGATTAATTTAAATTTAAAAGTGACAGGGACACTTCACAAAGCATTGCTGTGATGCCTGTCATTTCATTAAAACAGTCAAAATATACATTCGATACATTTTAAAGACATTTAAGGAACAAACTTTCTCAGTTTTAAAGCCATCATCTTCTGTTTGTTAAGAGTTTGATTTGTTTGTTGATGTTTACTTTTGTAAACAAAAACTAATTATAAATGTCCAAAACTGGAAACAAAGACTAAAACAAACATAATAACAACAACATCTACTGTAGTATTATCCCAAGCTATTCTTTTGTTTGCTTTCATGACATTAGTTTTATTAAACATGATTTTGGTCTGTGAGAGAAAACTAAAGTTGGAGAAAACCCACTCCTGCACAGGGAGAACATGTAAACACAACACAGAAAGTTGATCTAGCAAACTTCTTCTTTAGAGGCAACATGTTGCTCTACAAACTTGTGCCACTGTGCTGCCTAATTTTATATCATTATTTAAACTGTTTAATAAACTATCTATTTAATTAAATA